AAAAATGGCGGACATTTCACTCTTTTCAAGAGTAAGAACTAGGCGAAAAAATAGCTAAAAACATAGCAAGAACAGCAAGAAGACAACTCGAAGGGCGACATCTGCTATTTGGAGAATCATTTGCGAAGCTGAACAACCCTAAACTTGCGCTATCGAAGATGAACTTAACATCAATGGATAGATGGAGGTAAGAATGTTTTAGCCATGTTTTTCAACTAGGTATTATTTTGAATGAACAATAAAACAATTATTGAATTCGGCTTTCGTATCATATGAAGAATTATAGAGATGCCGGAGGGTGTTATCCGCCTCGGCCGTAACACCCTCCTCGATCTCCATAATTCTTCATAAGATACTCAGCCTCATTCATTAATTGTTAAATAGCAGTAACACTAACCATAAATGTAATGAAAGTCAACCATAAATGTAATATCCACCATAAATGTAATGAAAACCCGAACCATAAATATAATAAATTATAAAACATAAATGTACTAACATTTTAACCATAAATGTAGTAAGTATTGAAAATCGTATGAATTCGAGTACATTTCTTTATTTATAGCACGAGTGATGTTGATATTGGTTAGAGCACTGCACCGTTATTGCAGAGGTGATCTTCTCCACATTTAAACTCTTTAAAGTTCAACACTTGGGCAAAGAAATCTGTCAGGATCGATCTTTTTTCAAGTCATAACTAGCTAGACAGTAAAGAAAGTGAGCTCGAAAACGTCTTTTCTTGGCTGCAGAGTTCGTGTGCAGTGGCCAGCTCTGACAATGAACCCAGAAGTTCTTAGCGACCAAACAATACCTGGGAATCCAATGGAGATTACAGTGGAACATCGATACAACGAAGGGCCAAGGGATTAGTAAAACGTGTTCGCTTTATTAAGGTTCCACTGAGCCGGGTCATCGCCAAAAACTCGCGCAATAAATGTACTGCTTGAAATATAAATGTTGGTAAGCCAATTTATAACATTCATACACGTTATGATTTAGTACCGCTCAGGGACTCTACTCACAGCACTTCACTTAGAATTTGTCTCTAGTAATAACTGAGCAAAAGAAGCCCTCGTTCGAAGTCCTGGTTCGAATCCTAGCTCGCAGCCATGTTCGAGTTTTCGCTCTGTATTTAGGTATACTCAAGTTTATGCCACGGAAACAGTTGAATTCTGAGCGATAACTGAAAGCTCTCTGGCAAATATTGCTTGCGTTTTACATTCGCTTTACTTTTCAGAATAGACGAATCTGCCAACCCTTTTACAAACTTTTTTCATTTTGTCAGCAGTTATTTACGGTTTATACTTTCCAGCAGGTTAATGATTCAGGAAATAACAAATCTCTACAAATCGTGTTCCAATCATCTCATACATATTAGTGCTTTTATACATTTAAAAGCAAAGTAACCATAGGCGTACGAGCAATTTCCTGCCAGGGGAGGCGGTAAACCATTTGCCCAAAAAGTTCTCGCAAGTTACCCAAATTTCTACGAAACAACATAGGCCGTACTGGCATATGACGGTGGCTCGATACAGTTTTTAAGGGTCAATACCTCCCAAGTTCGAGCTTAAACTACGTCGCCATAAACAAACATTTGGAAAAATTGCCATTACAGTTGTGTTAGATAAAGATGAAAATTTGTCATGATCAGGGTTGCAATGACATCGGAGTTGTCAAAGCAACGAAATGACGCCATTACCTATTTTACTTGCAGCAATATTTCTCGGCACTGGGAACTGTTCTTACAAAATCATTCACTGAGCTTTTTTCTCCAATACGGTCGCCTTGATGTTCTTGAAGTTAAAGCGGAATCTGTAAGAGCGTTATCGAAATATTTTGGGATTAAGTTTTTATTGTTAGAGATACGGTAAAAAAAGAAAATCTTGAAGTTTGGCCGTTATTTGTAGGAAACGAAGCGCTTTTGACCATGTAATTTCACCTCATAGTAGTTTTAAATCTTTTTAAAAACGCGTGTGAAAGATCGTGGAGATAGCTCCGGCCGATTGCTAGAAAGAAGGGTTTGATTAGTATGTATCGAGGCGCTCATGTTAGCGGCTTTGTAAACAGTTCGGTCTACTTTTTAAACAAATTAGTGAATAATTTTTGAACCGCTCGATAGATTTTTTTGAAAAAAAATAAGGTTCTTCTCGTAATTTAAACTGAGAATTAGTCAGCCACTTCTTCATTTTCAGACCCATTGCTGATGCTATCTGCCATACAGTGTTCTACGAGCGGAGATTATTCTAGAAAGTTATGCGGAAGTTTATTCTAATCAATGCAAATAGCCCATTCCAGCTGGTGCAGTGCCGAATAAAAGAATACAAAGTTGTAAATGTAAATGTAAATGTCGCGATTGAGAGGACAAACATACATGTCCTCTTTACATAGCTTTTTGCAGTGGGCTCGGACATCAGCATACTAAGGGCGCCGATGGCAGCCGCTATCAGTCCATTTATGAGCCCACTGAACCCTCCCAACCCATGATGAGTGATGATGTAAGTGATGAAGATAGACCACAACACCGGGAACTACGTCCCCTACTCAACATATGATACCCTTCTCTAATAACTTTGCCAGAAACTCATCACGTGCTAGGCAACCAGTGTCTCGTGTGAATACAACTGGAACATTACGCCGAGCTTCAGGTTAAAATTTTAAAGACATGAAAAATAATAAAATAATAATAAAAATAAAAAAAAATACATGAGGCGTAAAAAAAAAAAAAATAATGAAATAATAATTGTAAAAAAAACATGAAAACGTCTTTAAAAACTGGCTTTGCCCAAATTTTCTCTTGCTGCCTCCCAAAAATGGTGGGCTGCCGAAAATTTGGGGGAAGGAGGCTGCAGCTCCCCTCGCCCTTCTGGCCCGTACGCCCCCCTTAGCGAAACTAAAAATGATAAGCTCTTCTTCAAACAATTAGGTAGTTCTTACCTTTGTGGGTGAGAAAAAAATATATCCCTTTCCTGAACTAGTCGAAGACAAGCCACACTTCTTACCTCCGGCAAGTGAAGTTTGTCACGCCTGACGTTCTAGCAAACCACCCCAGGCTGTTTTGCTCTGAAAGATCAGTAAAATCAAGCAGTCCCTTGTTGAATAAGGATGTCGAGCTACTTCGTTGACACTGCTAACAGGGAATATTAAATACTCGAATGCCGCTACGGTAAAGAAAAGCTACATAAAATATAAATATAACTGAAACTTAAGACAAATTATGTCACATGCTAACACGAAGCCGAACTTATAAGATCTCGGCGTATGCAAGAAAGACAAAACCATCTTGCTCCCATATTAAATAGTATATCAAATATAGGTAACACAAAAAGCGATTCATAATGCTGACATACAATGTATCCTAAACTGCCAGGAAAAGAGAGATAAAAGAGATCAAAGTAGATCATTTTTTGAACACAGAGAATCAACTGAACTGTATAACCGACAAAACGTTGCATGAATAAAATTAAAAAGTAGGGAGAAAAAACCGTCACTTTTTGTTGCTCAACCTGTAAAATGGATGAACTTAAAAGATTCACAACTATCAGTGGAGTAAATAACGTTTTTTGTA